TTTGTACGTACCTTTTCATTTTTACTCAGAAACTCTTTCTATTTTAACCAACTTTTTTATTTTAATCAAATTTTGTCACCAAATAAATACATTTCGTAATATTCTTGACAAGATATCGTAAATATATATTTTATTTTATTTTTTATGATTCTGCCTTTTCTGTTTAAATCTTAACCTTCCAATTAAATTTTCGAATTAATAATAAATTTTTCTTTTTCTTAATAGCACGCGAATTATTTTTCAATGCGATATTTGCGGGTCGTTTGGACCACTTTCTTATTCCTTTTACGAATTTTGTTTTTGAAAATTAATTCGTATTTTGTCACATAAAAGTAGGACTGGAAGTTAGTGACTTCCAAATTTTTTTCTATATTTAGGGAATTTTGATGACTTTCGGCAAATTTAGATTATTGACTAGATCCCATGACTTCCTACGTTTAACTGTAGAAAATTCAACACTTAGGAAGTAATTGAGTACTTTCGAAGAAGCTTTAAAGATTAGAGGAAAAATTTTAGTACATTCCTAATTTTTGGAGAAATCAAAGGAAGATAATCGTACCAATTATCACATAAATTATTATTATCACATGACATCTATTCAGTAAGGATCGCAATAGCTAAGGGGGAATCCATTGCAAACGATTTTAATTTTTGGCAGATACTAACGATCGGCGAACACTATTCCGTCTCTTCTGATTAAGTAGTTTTTATTAAATAGTAGTTTTAAATTCACCTTTACTTTGATTCATGAATTATGATTATTAATACGATGCTGTGCAAGGATATTTTTTCGGGGGGGGGGGGGGATATGGTAAGAAGCAAGGACAGTTTCACACATGCAAAATAGGGGAAAAACATTGTAACAAATATTGTTCATTCTGTTGTTTGCAGAAGTTAAACTGGTAATTTAAAAATATTATATAATACTTATTTTTCATATAATATTACATTATAATTATAATCAACAAAGTTTACAAAGACATGCGACGGGGATTTGAAGAAAATTTTTCGATTACTTTTTGAGACAAACCAGAATATCCGGAAATATGCTTAATAAAGTTAGTTAATAAAAGGTTTGATTCGACAGTTTTTTTTTTTTTCTTTTTACTGAGAGGCTCAAAGAAAGACTTAAGAAGTTTGAATCCCAGAATTTGGGGGGGGGGGGGATTTGTCCCGACGGTCCCCTCCCCTGGCTACGGGCCTGATAGTGTGATATTAAGATATGTTTTTTTTTAATGAAAGGCTGGTTTTCTTCTCCTAGTATAAATTTGCCAGTATTAATGCTTAGATTTTTTTTGTCAAACGTTCTAAAAATATGTATTCATGCTCTGAATTGTCTTTATTTTTTTACCTAATTCTTATTTTTTATTTCACATCGAAATTCAACCTCTTTTGTTACCCTTATTTTATTTATTCATAATATTTACAATAGAAAATTATTTTTAAATTTATTTTGAGTTATAACTAAAATGACTCAATCACAGTTTGCGATAGCTCAAATGATATGTAGTACTATTTATCGAATCATTAATTATTGATGCATTTTACATGATGCTATTACTGTTCACTTTGTCAATAAAGTATTATTGAGTCGTCGTGGCTCAGGGGATAGAGCTCACGCCCCCCAATCAGGTGACCCGGTTTCGAATCTCAGCTACGACTGATCGATACGAATTCCGACCGCTCGCACCGACCACAGTGCGGACGTGAAATATCTTCAGTGGTAGACTGATCATAGGTTAGAGTCCCCTTGCCGTCTGGTTAACCGTGGGAGGTTTCCATGTAACGCAAATGCGGGTTTGTTTCATCAAAAAGAGTCCTCTACGAAGGGAAATTTCTCCCAATACTTGATTCGGGAGCTTCCTTGTGTTTTGGATTGGGTTCAAAATTACAAGACTACGGAGTTGAACATTGGTTGTAGTAAACTCAAAAATTGAGTCAGTTGTTCAACGACTGTTATCAAATAATATGAAATAAAATAAAGTAAAGTATAATTAAATGTAGGGGAAATTGTGCATGCATGTTTTTATTATTTAATAAAATAGAAATTTCATTTAGCAAATTTCCTCCTCTTAAAAATTGTATCTTGTGGTGCCCTTGTATAGATCTGAATAAAAATATTTATGATTATAAAGGAGTTTCTTTTATAACTCTAGAATCGTTCGTGGTATCATCCTGTAATTTGGACAGCACCGAAAATAGAAATTTTAGCCCCCTACCAACAAAATTGTTCCGAAATTTCGATTAAATCGTTCGGAAGGGATATTTAAAAAGCCCTGTTTTCTCATTGGTTTAGCGAAAGTCCTTTTTTTAAAAATTTAACTATAGATAATTATTTAAAAAAATTTTTTTAGACATATTTTAAAAATAACATCGGTGAAGTTAACTGGCTTATATCTCTTAACAAAAAAACTGTTTATTGAGCGTTCTGTAATGCTTAATTAATTTTTATACGTTCTGTCAGATTATGTTAATGATCAACGTTAGAGCCGGTGTTGCTTAGGGAATTAGAGCACTGGTGATCTGGGTACGAATCCCAGCGATGGCTGGTCGATTCAAATTCCGCACCGACCACAGTGCTGAAGTGAAATATCTTCAGTGGCAGACGGATTATAGATAGATCATAGGTCCCCTTGAAATCTGGTTTGTCTTGCGAGGTTTTCGTGGTCTTCTTCTGTATATAACGCCAAAAGCGAGTTAGTTCCATCAAAAAAAGTCCTCCTCAAAGGCAAATTTCTTTCAATACTTGATACAGGAGCTCCCTCATCTTTTGGATTGTATTCATAATTACAAGGCTACGGAGTTGAACATTGATAATAGTAAACTCAAAAATTGGGTCGGCTGTTCAACGACGGTTATAAAATAAAATAAAATAAAATAAAATAAAATAAAATAAAATAAAATAAAATAAAATAAAATAAAATAAAATAAATAAAGTATAGTTAATGTAGGGGAAAGTGTGCATGCATGTTTTTAATATTTAATAAAATAGTAATTTCATTTGGCAAATTAAAAATTTTCCCTCCTTCTAAAAATTGTATCTCTTGACATAGATTTGAATAAAAATATTTATGATTATATAAGGGCCTCTCTTATAACTCTAGAACAGTTTGTGCCGTTCCAAAATTTCGATTAGATCGTTGGGAAGTGATATTTATAAAACGGAATTTTCCCATTGGCTTAGCGGTAGTCATTTTTAAAAAAAATTAAACCATAGCCGATTCTGCTTTTTTTTTAAACGTATTTTAAAGATAACTGGCTTATAGCTCTAATAAAAAAAGCTGTTTATTGAGCTTTCTGCGATGATTAATTATTTTTTATTCGTTTTGTCAGATTATGTCAATAATCAACATGAGAGTCTGTGTGGCTCAGGGGATAGAGCGCAGGCCTCCCAGTGAGGTGACCTGGGTACGTATCCCAGTGATGACTGGTCGATACGAATTCCGCACCCGACTCACCCTGACCACAGTGTTGACGTAACATATCCTCAGTGGTAGATAGGTTTGTAGTATAAGTCTCCTTACCTCCAGGCTAACCATGGAGAGTTTTCGGGACTTTCCTCACCATGTAACGCAAATGTGAGTTAGTTCCATCAAGTATATTGATGAACTACTTCATCAAATTAGCTTTTACAAAGTTGTCTGAAACATGTTTATTTTGTTTATGATTATGCTTTCAAAACGTGTTACTTTAAAATTAAATAATTTAAAATCATGGGTAATTGAAATAAAAAAAAGTTTTTACTCTGAAAACCAACATTAGTGGTGAAATGGTACTAATTCTTTGAGGAAAAACGTAAATAAATACCAATATTATGAGTGACGCCAATGACACTTAATTAATTTTGGTAATAGGTACTTATTAAAATGATTAAAATCTTGTGTGTACTTAAATCTCCCATACTTTTAATAACCCCAATGATACTTACTTAATTAAATCTCAATTATGGTAAGACAGTTTTAATAGGTATCAAATATACTCACATATAAGTACGAAGAATTTATGAGCATAATTTGGCGCCAATTGAAACTTGAAAAAAATATCATTTTTATTTAGATAATGTGGAAATATGTTTTGAGGGACCCTCAAAGAAACAATATAGGAGAAAATTGCTCCATTGTGGTAAATTTAGAATATCATGAACAACATAACTTTGCCAGATGAATATTTTGCTAAACGAATATTTTGCTAAATCTAATAACGTTAAGCCCCGGTAAAGATAAATAACAAGAATTTAAAAAAAAAAAAAAAAAAAAATTGAAATTATTTTAGAACGTTGTTAATTGTGTTGATATATGTATTATTTTCTGTTTTGTGCAAGATTCCGTAGTGATATTTAGAACTGATTTATTAATTCTCGGCTCTTTTTTACCCGGAACGAAGAACAAACATTCAGCTAGTAAAAGATAAAGTAAATAAATCAAGTTCGCAATTTGTACTTGTGTTTCCAACTAATAAAAAATCCTTCTGTTTTCAAATTATTTTCGACAATCGAAAACAACATTATTGTTGCGCATCTTTATAAAATGGTAATTTCACATTCAGCAAATAAAAAATTTCCTTCCTTCTTAAAATATGTAAACTGGCTGCTCCCGTTCATTTAAATAAAAAAATTCAAGAAATAAAATAAAAGATCTACGATTTCAATTTAGAATATTTCCAACTATTATTAAATTCTATAGTTTTCGAATTATTTGTAAAAGTCTTTTAAAAATTTACTTAGGTAGTTTTAAAGATAAAAAAAAAGTCAGTTCTTTTGTACGTTTCGTTTTTGAAAACTTTGCAGTTGGTCGAAAAATTTTTCTGAAAATATTTTTGAAAAATGCATTCTGAATAAAAAAAATATTGCGAAGTATTTTGAACTATTTAATCAAAATTAATTTTATATTGCGATAATTTATTTAAAAAAAACCCCTTATAAATTAGAGAATATTTTCAAACAAATCGATCTCTTGTAGCGCGTCAATCACCGCTGTTCCCCGTTTACTGCGCGCGCATCTTTATAATACTCCATCATTTGCAATATGGCGGATTATCACCAAAGGGGGGAAAACGGCTTGTGTATTCATCTGGAATGATAAAATCCTTAATATTTCTTTCATCTTATCATCTCGGAACTCTAGGAATGGGGTATCTCATGTACTCTTGATAAATCGAACCCTTCCATCCCGGTGTTTCTCCTGCAATAGACAACTACTAATCTTCCCTACCAAAGTGACATTGTGTTAAGATTTTATGTTTGTGTTTTCCTTTTTACCGGTGTTTGAAAAGAATGTAGTTATATGTTACTTTGACAAGAAATAACTTTAGATTGCACTAGTTTCTTTGGAGATGTATCTGATTATAAATTTCAGGTACTGTTACTTATAATATTCATACGTAATAAATATTAATTAACTTTATAATCCTTTTCTATTTATCGAATGCGATTAATTGTAAATCATGTCCCCTAATCACCATAATTCTAACAGTCAGTTTATTGATTATAAATCTAGAAATGTCAAAATAATAACTGCATAGTTCTGCAGTACTAGAGAATTTTCAGCATTTAATTACATATATTGATCTATAGTATGTCTGGAGGTAATGACACCAATTTTATTTGCAATAGAGATACCTCAATTGTTTTTGTTCAACTGTTGAAATAGTGCACATGAATAGTGTAGTATTGGCTTATGAACTGTCATTGTTAATTATTTATCTTATTGTTTTTAACTGTTTAGGTTATGATACAATTTCCATGCTTAATGTTAATGAACACTTATTCATTTGTTTGGGGATATTTAAATTTTTATTTAGCCATGCATTTAATTAAATAGTTTAAATGATTTCAGTCCGTCGAGTCCCTTAATCACCATAGCTGATGTTTTAACTGTCAAATTAATGCTTGAATTTGAAATTAATTAAATTTCTAAATGTAATTAAGAAATATTATAACAATATGCTGCATTATTCTGCAATACAGAGAATTTTCAGTATTAAATTATCTACATTGATCAATAGTATGTCTTGGAGGTAATGACACCAATTTTATTTGCAATAGAGATACCTTAACTATTATATTCAGCTGTTGAAATGGTGTATTTGTTTATAAACTGTCATTGTTAATTATTTATCTTATAAATTATATAAGATGTTGAATTTATGATAATTTTCCATGCTTAATATTAATGAAGATTTATTTATTTGTTTGAATATATTTGTATGAAAATATTTGTATTGATATGCATCTCATTAAATAGTTTTAATGTTTTCTGAAGATCAAATCCCTTAATTACTATGGTTAGTATTTTAACTGTCATATTAATGCGTGACTAGACATTAGAGAGTTTGCAATATTTAATAAGTTTTATTGATCAATAATATATCTGGAGGCAAACGACACCTATTTTATTTATTATAAAGATATCTCATCTGTCCCATCTCCCTGATCAACTATTGAAATAGTGTAGTATTGATCTATAAAGTGTCATTGTTAATTATTTATCTTGCAATAGAGATACATAAATTATGTTAAAAGTTAAATTTACAATACATTTTCTATGCATATTATTAATGAAGACTTATTTATTTGTATCAAAATATTTGTTCACCTAATTAAATAGTTTTAATGTTTACTGTTGATCAATTTCCTTAATTACTGTCGTTGGTATCTTAACAGTCGAATTAATATGTGACTAGACACTATATAAATATTCCCTATTTATATTTTGATCAATAGTAGGTATATCAGGGGGAAATGATACCTATTTTATTTACTATAAAAATCCCTCATCTGTTCCATCACCCTGATCAACTATCAAAATAGTGTGAAACTAATATTTGAGCCAATTTATTTTTTAAATATTATTGTTAGTGGTATTTAACTTTTAAATTCTTTAAACAGTAAAAACAGAGATAAAATTTATTTATGCTTTTTTTGAATCTGAGACTAAGGTTTAAAAGTAAATTAAAACCTATTCTAATAGCATTATATGTAATGTTATAGGAGAACATAAATTGTGGGAACATTATAATGCATAAAAATATTTTTAGATTTTTTTCTTGTTACTTTTTTGAAGCTGTATTTACAAGTTTTCGTGCATAAAATGAAAAATGTATTACGTATACTCGACTTTTAATGTCATGTAATCCTCATATATATTGCTTTATTGATGTTCAAAGGTCATTATTTATATTGACATTGCAAAGTTCAACAAGCTAATGATATGGCTATTTAAAGTTAATTTAAGTTAATTGACATTAATTTTGATAGGATATAACTTTCAATATATTAAATAGTGAGTTAGTGGCCTTTTTTATTTTGTATTTTAGCAAATAATCTGTTAATAGTGTTATGTAAAGAGTGACTCTTTTACTATTCTCATAAATATCCACATTCCAAAAATATGTTTTTAAAAATATCCCGATATATTTCAGACAATTTGTAAAATTGGAACATGTATTTGAGTATTTACTTTTTAAGGCAATGATTCTATTGATTTTTTGTCAGTTATTGCTATTCATTTTCCCATAGTTTTTAAAATCCAATATTTTTTTTTTATATGGTATTTATTTACAACAATCTAATTTCGAAAGCAAAACAAACTGTGATAGTTTTTTTATAAAATGTGGAAAAGGAAATAATTAGTAGTGTGTTTTTCCTTCAGCGAAATGCGAGAATATAACCCGTAATATTAGAATAATAAAAAAATATTGCATGTTCAATTAATGCATGTTAAAAAATTTTTTGTTATCACAGCATTTTTGTTATTTTAAATTAACATATATTTGTTATTATCAAAAGTATCTTGCAGAAAGATATTAGTGTTGTAGAGTTTCGTCGCAGAAAGCTCAAAAAAATTTCGTTACAGGGTATCCACATATAGAATAAAGTACTCATAAAATTTTTTAAAGATTTTGCTTTTATTATTGTTTGTTTAAAATAAAGACCCTTCTAATGAATTGAAAATAAGAAATAGAGAATTTCTGACTGTAAAAAAATGAGATCATTAATAAATGAGTATTCTGTGGATTTGTCTACAAATGTTTTAACTAACCATTGTGTAAAAGAACAATATACCTAGTTTAAGGAGTGTACAACCTTTTTTAGAAGAGACAAATTTAAGCTTTTCTGGGCTACTATGAATCAATATTTTATGTTAACTGATAATAACTTGAATGTCTCCTAGTTCTTTAATAAAAACATTATTAGTTTGCCTTAAAAATTAATAAAGCAAATAATTTACAAAGCATGTGTATAATATTCGAGAATTGGGAAATTTGTAGGTAAAGTCTAAAAATTGCAATAAATGTTTTAGATTTTATATAGAAAAATTAATGTTATATTTTTTTACGGTACATAAATTATTTAAATCAAATTTTTAAATGAATTTTTGAACTAAATTTGTTTAAAGCATGAGATAAAAAATTTCATAATAAAAGAAATCTGTTTACACTTTAAATTCATTACTCTATTTTTTGGAGTTTTAATGTAATAATTTTGTAGTTTATTTAAATAAGTTATAAAATTTCAAACATTAGTTTTATACAAAATAAGCGGCCACAGATTAATATTTGTGATAATGATGCTTTTGTTTAAAATAAGATACAATTAAAAGGGTACAAAATACAGTGAAATATTATAAAATAACTTGTTGGTATTGAAAAAAAAAAAAAAAAAATTCAAACTTGGATTCAACTAAATTCAACTAATTTGAATTTAACCAGTTAAGCTACCTTATGGAACTCTACCTGAGTAGATAAGTTAAAAACATAACTTTTTTTTTTTAAACAAATATATTCTGAATTATTGTTTGAGTTTCTGTAGAATTGATTTGCTATCTTTTATTAGCATTGTAAAATTAGTTTTTATCTAAATTATATGTTTATATGCAATCATCAGTTGTTAATTCTAGTGTTTTTTTTTCCCCCTTTAAAAAAAAAATTATTTTATTCATAGAGGAAATTCCTTTCAGGTCATGGAAATACACGTTTCCAAAATTTTAGATTTATTTAAAACACTCTGAATATGCCTTTGGATATTTGGCAAATTAGAATATTGCAATGTGCATTTTTTTTAATGAATAAATAGTGCTTCAGGGCAAGTTTGCTATAAGATATAGGCAAAATTGCATAGCGTAAACTTCTCTAAAAAAAAAATAATAATAACTGTGTAAAACCTATTAACACCTTATTTTGAAGATAATTTGTTGATTTTAACTATGCATAAGCATTCATAACCATTAGACATTTAGTCGTTTCATAACCATTAGACGTTTAGTGGTTTTGGTTCCATTAATTTCAGCCATCAGACTAGAGACTATAATGCTTAATACTTGTTGGAACTAAAAAATTGAGAATAATAATAGTTTTTTTTTTGGTGAAAAAATTCATAAAAAGTAAATCTAGTACTTATTGTTGTATTTTAAAAATAATTTAGTTTGAGCATTGACTTGTTATAATGTGTAGATAAAAATAGTAATAATTAGTGACATCATTTTCAAAACTTAAAATTTTTTTTCAGGTCACATTTATTTGAGATGATGCACTTTCGCGCAAGTCTATCTTTTCTGACGCCCCTGGATTCTTGATTGGTCCTTGGAAGGGTCACCATGGGTAGCAGTTGCTCTTCAGCTCAAAAGAAAAAAGATAAAGAACGTCAGAATTCGCATGGGGGGCAGTAAGTATATTTCCATATTTCAAAAAAAAAAAAAACATTTTTTGATATTAAGAAATATAAAATTATTGTTTTCCCTACTCCATTTTAAGAACTATTTATATTTTTAAAAATTGTATCTTGGTACTATCAGATTTGCATTAAGTATGTTTAGCTAAATTTTGTCACATATTTATATTATTTTTTTATTGAATTAACTTTTTATTGCTGTAGATTATTTCTAACATTAATTTCTTTAAAAATATGCAATTTAATCCAAGCAAACAAAAAAAGTTTGCCAAAATTGGCTATAAAATGAAAAGGACCCTTTGATTTGAGGAAAAAGTGGCTACTAAGTTATTAGTTTACCGGCCACTGACTACTAACTGAAAATTGAAATTTTTAGGTCTAAACAATACCCTTTGATTCATAAACAAGTTTCGAATGATAACTTGGAACAGCATAAAACAAAGGAAAAAAGAAGTTTCGACCAAGTGGATCTTTTTGCTTATTTATTACACTCAAAATATTGAGTTCATCATCTTACAAATGAAGAAAAGGAGAGGGTCAAAGACTGGTTATAGGAAATAAATCCCTCATTTGTTTAATATACAACAAATTTTGAAATAAAAGAAAACATATTTCCAAAAGATTATTTTTTTCTTTCAAATTATGTAGTAACATGGATTAGCACCAACAAGTTGTTTCAAAATGTATAAAAATCTTGCAAAGTTTCGAGAGAATTTTGTGTATTAATGCAATTATGCCTGGCCTACAATGTGTTGCTATTGAAAGAGTTCATAATTTAGTTACTACTATATTTAGTTATAATTGTTTTGAATTATTACTTATTATTTTACAACAAAACGCAGACAATTGTTGGGCTACTTTCAAAGCTATATGTATTCAGTTACTTTATCAAACTGTAATAAAAATGTTATTTAATTTGCACTTTCTTTAATTTAGATGTCCTATTGGAGGACGGCGTCGTTCTACCGAGAGTTTACCGTATGGTAAAGGCTCTCCTCCATCATCACGCCGCCCATCATTTGACCCTGCTTCTGCACAACCACCACTGCCAGAGCAAGCGGAAAGTCCAACGGAACCAGGATCTGGCCACAAAAAACCTGTTGATGCCACAATCTCTTCAGTGAGTGCAGGCGGATCATCTTGTTCTCCACCCCCTGGGACGGTTCGTTAAAATTGCAGATATGCACTTCTTTCTGCATGTTGCAATTTTAGCATGCCCATAATATATTAAGCATCACATTTTTATGTTGCCATTTGCATCTCTTTATTGGATTTTGAACGTATATTAATTTTTTTTTGTATTTATCATATGCTTCTAACATAGACAAACATTTTGTGCTTTTATACCAAAAATTGCATAATGGGACTTAATAAAAAAAAAAGATTGAGATTGATTTTATTTTTTCCATGGGGTGTAATATCAATAATCTGGTCATTTTGGAAGAAATTTGGGTCGGTATAACGTTTATGTGGTTTCCTTCTATACATCAAATAATGCGGGTTAATTTAATCAGAAAATCCTTTACAAAAAAATTGTTCATCCTCTTCCTTCTCGCTCCTGTGAAAATGGCGGGTTTAGGTTTTGCCCTCTGTTTCTCGCTCCTGTGATATTCCCGGGCTAGTAACGCTCTGACAAGAATAAAATTAATTCATTTCTTTTGCCCAGAAAACATTTTGTTTATCAATTTACCCTCCAGATGGCAGTACCAGGATATTTTAAAGGTAATTGTAGATAGTTTATTTTAAACTACATGTCAGCACTAATCAAATACGTGTCTTAAATAGACACTTTTTGACAGTTTTCTTGAAAATTAACCGATCTTTAAGGAGTTATTGGGAATTCTTAGTCTTTTTTGTTTGGTTATAAAAAATTGTTTGAATACAGTGTTGAGCAATGATAATTCAATCTCGTATGGGCTGACTGAGATGAATCAATTGAAATCTCATATGCTGTTCAATGTCAGAGAAATGAAATCACCAGTGCTGATAAGGACAGGCGATTTTATAAAGTCCACACACCAAGTGCAGACATCCGCTTAAAAAATTTGCTACATAGGTAAAAAAAAATTAGTAATGCATTAGCTAGGTAATTAAAATGCTTGATGCAGTTGCATATCACAAAACATATGCATGATACCAGCAATAGCATTGGTTTATTTTTTATATCTTATAACATTTGTGGTTACTATTTGTGTATAATTTTGTTTGTTTTAATATATTTTGTTTTTGCATGGAATGCTTTTTACTTTTTAACCATTATTTTTTTCTGAATTATATGAATTATTTTTCTAGATTTAATTTAATTGATTGTATATTTTTAGACTGGTACACCCATAGTTAAGGATGCACCATCATTTGATGCTATAGGCCTACCTGATTTACAACGTTTCCCTGATCACATAAGATCATTAATCCTTGGTCGAGTTGATGAAATTGAACTATTTCCACCTCTTCAAGAAATCACGCTTTATGTTGCTGCAGACTTTTATGGTATATTCAAACATTATTTTACTCAAACATTGTATTTAACATTTTTATATCATTTTTAATTTTTTGCGGGAGGAATATTTTACTCATCTCAAGTTTTTTATTCATTGTTTATATAGTCATTTAAAAAAATGTAGAATTTTTAATTCAAAATTGTAGAAAGTATATGTAAAGTTGCGTATAGTGTGTTTGCATTTTTGAAATATTTATTATTGCTTTAAAAGATACCCATAACTTTATTTTCAAGATAACAAAAGCAGAATTTTTTATTATTAATTTCTTTAGTGTGTATTTGGACAACCACCCTAGTTGTTAAAATTTTATAATCGTAGTTTAACTTTAAATCTTTAATTATTATGCTTGTTTCGTTTTTATTTATTAATATTAATTAATTTTTATACATATAATTCTCTCACAATTTACTCTATGTTATTGTTATGTTGAGCCCTATTTTTCATTTGTCTATTAATTCTTTTGTTAGCTTTTAGGTTTTGTAACTTAGCTTCTTTGACAGATTAAATAACTTTTTTGTTTGGTGGTGGGCTACACTGTATGACTCTTGGGACAGGTCGATGAGGTTCTATAATCTATGTTCTTGCAGTTCTTTGCAGGATATATTATTCATCGATAAAAAAAATATTAATGCAAAAATATTAAAAGTTTATTAATATACCATACAAATGTGAAAATTTATGATTAAAAAGAGTCAAAATGTACTGCAATAGCTGTAGTATTCCTTATTTTTTTCTTCTCTTCTTACTACCAGTTTTACGTATAGCAGCTTTCTGCATTCCTAATTTTCCATTGGGTACCTTCTATATTTCTAAAAAAATTTTTTGCAACATGTATAAAAACCCTGGCTGCAGGAGGCTTAGTGAGTTAGGATATAAAAGGTAAAAGTTTTAACATTTCATTAAAGAAAAGAACAATCAAAAACGGTTTCCAAAATTTCAAAAGAGAAATAGACCATGAAAATGCATCTGCCCTTCAAAGTTTAAACCTTAATGGTTATGTAAACCTTATATTTACTTTTAGTATCATAACTTTTTAAACAGTTAATGCTCGTCTAAAATGCACTTATGATTTCAAAACTAAACATAGAATTTCAATTGCAGCAAGCTTTTTTTCTTTTACTTATTAATTAGAGAAATAGATTGGTTATATCTGAAAAAAGATTTAATTGATCCTTTTCATGTGCGGTATTTTTCTATTTTTAGAGTTTTAATTTAAATTATGCACACTTTTAAAACCTTTTTAATGCACAATGGTTAAAAAAAAAAAAAAAAGATTGTGCGTGTTTAGCTGTGGTTGTGAAAATAAAAATTATGTTACGTGTTTTAGATTCTGTAGTTGAAAGAGATGCTTTGATTGAACGTGTTTTCTTAAACTTGAGGCGCTACTCTGCAGAAAAAGGATATGAATTGAATGTTATTGATCTGCACTGGGGAATACCAGGTGTTGGGCTAGTAGATCACAGCTTGCCTGATTTATGTATGAGTTCTTTAGAAAAATGGAGGACAAGAAGAAGACTTCTTACTTTAGTAAATATCTTGTTTATTTTTTCTTTTAAAAGTTTAGCGAGGTTAAAATTTATCCAAAAATAATTGGGAAATTTTGATTTATTAATAAAAATCATGGTTAAATATGTAAAAAAAAAAAAAAATTAAAGGGATAAAATTTTATACAAGTGTCTAAGACAATTCTGGTGCTTAGTGTTTCGGTATATTTCTCATCAAAAAAGAAACTTTATTTAAAAATTGCATTTAGTTCATAACCACACAATTTTCATTATTCATCATAGTTGAAAATATTGAATTTAGTTTTAATCCAATTTAATTTGAAAACATTTAGGGCAAAGAGAATTGTAATACATAGTGTTACATATTGCATTCAGAGTGCTTATGTTCACCGTTTTTAATTTTGTATTACTCTTAAAAAGTATATCTTCTTAAATACAAGTTTAATGTCTTTGACACAATTTTGTAATTTATACTGATATTATTGTGTTTGAGATTTATTTTAGTTTTAGATTATACATTGTAACTCATTTTGATTTTTTTTGCATTGAAAGCGTAAAAATGTTTGTGTTTAGCGCAGTATAGCCAATTTCAATTTCTTGGGCAATTATATTCAACTGCTGGTTTAATTCCTTCAAGTTAATCCTCATTTAGAGAGAAAAATCAAAGCTTATATCACTAAACCTTGATATCAGGCAAATGATTGTTTTCAAATGTGGTTTTGATTTTTTAAAATCTACTTCATACTAAACAAATCAGAGCATAGGAATTAAGTGATATTGATGGCAGCCACCCTTTATATTAAGACATCAGCTTTTTATTTAAACTATTGTGCTCTTTTGAATAATTTTAAAAATTTACTTTTTTTCTCAAGATATAATTTTGAATAAGCAAAATTAAAATTAAAATGAAAGATAATTTGGGTCAGTTATGCCTACTTGTTTTTTACATAATTATCATAGATAAAAATTAATGTGTTTTATTTTATAACTGAAGAAATTTTATGCATTGGTTTCAGAGATATTGATCATTATATTTGTTATATCTTACATTAATAAATCATTACCTGGTTTTTAAAATCTAGAAAATTTAAATACTATATTATTTCAATTTGCACTTTTAGTAATCACTTTATACATTGGATTCCCAAGCGTTTCAACCTAAATTCACATAATTTTATAAACTGTATTTTTTGGCAGGATTTTCATATCCTTTTAAATTTCTGTTATTTTAATGTGTTAGTTATCAGGGGTCTGTCTCGGCCAAATTTTCTACCGTTTAGCGGTGCCTTCATAAATTCAACTTTAGGAAAAACGGTAGTTTCACAAAATACTTTTTCTTAAAATTTTATTTTTGTATCCCGTAAGAAAGGCTAAATCCATATTTGTGTATTAATTTTTTAACATAATTTTTAATTTTCACAAATTATGTCTAAATTTTCACAAAATAGGTACCTCTAAGAAAATCATAGACAGACCCCTGGCTGGCAATGGAATTGTGGCTGTTACTTTTACCAATTTCTATATAATTTTCAAGTTCGATTTTTTTTTAAAAAATCTGATATTATTAAGATTTCTTCATTCATTCAAAGGAGTAATGATAAATTAACTTATTAATTTAACTAACTTTTATTGTCTTCATGTTTTCGATAAAACTGTCCAGTTTTCGGTGGTTACCGGATTTTTGAAATCCAGATTTTCGAGATTTGTATTGCACCTGTATTTGTAGATGTATATTACAACTGTATCATGACATTTTTGTAATCTTGAACAGAAATAATTTTTTAAAAATTGTCCGACTTGACATAAAATATTTTGGTAATTTATTTCAAATAGGTCATATTCAACGACAATATTGGAGCTACTCTTCTACCACGCACAGTACCAAAACCTCATTTTGAAAGTGGAATGGAATCTGTTGAGTCTGAAGCAGATAAAGAGCTTTTCAACAAATGGTATAAGTTAGACTCGGTCGCTTCTCCTATGGTTTATGTTCTTCAACCAGTTATCAAATATTATCCAGGTATATCTGGTGAAGATCCGACTGAGAGAGGAAACTGCATGAAGCAATGGAAGGAAGAAGCAGAGAGAATGATTACTGTGTTTGGAAATATTTTACCTGATGGACAACGGCAAAAATGTCTTACTTCTGGTTAGTTTCTTACTTCAATATCTGCAATATTTTACTCTTAATTCTTTTATTTTTTGTGCGCTTATATATGTGCTTTACAATATAATGAAATACAGTCAAACCCCACTATAGTGAACACAGTTTATAGTGAACTACTAACGTGTAATGTGTTATTTTTTGTGAATATAGTGAACCAAAAAAAGACGAAATTGGATATTATGAACTATGAACTTTTTTCTGTTTTCGAATGATTTTCTTCGTTTTTTTTGTTTTGTTTTTTTTTGTAATAATTTTGAAATTTCTACTTCAAAATAAATACATATACCGATTTTTAAAACAATCTATAGCATGGAATGCAGCAACAAGCATTTTTCTTGTTTGCTTCATTATTGAATTGGTTTAGCATTCAAAGAAGCCGCTATCTTCCAGTATCTGGACAAATGCTTCAAGTCAAAGCTGATGAATTTGCCAGGCGATTTGGTGTGACTTCTTTTATGTGCTCGAAGGGCTGGTTAGACTGGTTAAAAAAGCGAAATAACATAAATTCAGGAAAAATTATTGGAGAGTCTGGAAGTATTTCCGTATCTGATGTTGAGAATTGCTCATTAGCTAAAGTTATCTATTTTTTTTTTTTGTACGCAAGACGAAAAGTAATTAAAAATATAAGTTAACACATTTTTTGTTACTACAAATTATTTTTCAGTCATTTTTGTATTTAATTTTATAGGTCATTTATTTAAATAATGTGTAATAAAAGGTCGGTGTTTAGAACCATTTGTTAAAATTGTTTGTGGATGGGTATAATGAAGTCCCGGTTATAGTGAACCGAAATTTCGATCCCTTGAAGGATTACTACAGCGGGGTTTGACCGTATACAAATATTGCGTTAAGCATGTGTACTGTGTCAGCCGATCGGTGACTGACACTGAACTTTTTGTTTAGATTGTGTCAATCGCAGATGACTAACAGTGTTAAATATGATATTAAGAAATTGCTCAAAATTTAAGAAGTTGCTCAAAATTTATTTAAAATATCTTTAATATTTATTTTATGCAAATCAAATTTTTATTTATTTCAATCTGTGAGTAGTGCACTTAGCACTGCTGTGCTACAATACAAGCGCATATGGCTTGATGAGGATTTCCTTAAAAAATGCATGAGTCTCTCAACGTAAGTTTTTAATCTTTACAAATAAAGGAAATTGGAAAAAATAACTTCAATAATTATTTTTGTGTTAATAACTGTTGAGAATATCTGGATCTTTTGTGATCATGTTAATCCAATAATAATTAGCTTGAATTTTTAGCTGAGTTGTTTCCAGTTCAAGAACGAAAAGTAATTATTAAAACATAAAATTATTTTAAGTGGTATGAAGTTCATTTCTCTGTTTTTAAGACTATATAAAAGATTTCATAATTTGCAAAAGATTTGATAAACATTTAAAAATATTATTATTATACAGATTTTTAATTAAACATATTTACATACTCATATTATAAAGCTAAATGCTTCTTTTTCGGTTCACTGCCTTTTAAATACAATACAATTATGCTTTTAGTAAAATTATGAAATGAATTGGTGAAGCTGTTTAAAATTATTCGCTATCTTTTTAGTTTTCCAAGATGAGATCAAGTTTATTGTAAATGATGATCCCCAAGAAGCCAAAAGAGTTCTCTGGACACAGCGTCGTTTCACTCACAAGCCGACTGTATGTGCCGGAGACAAACCATCTCCGAGTGCTAGGAAAATTGATCAGTCTAAAGTGCAACTTGAAGATTATTTGCCTGACACACAAAAAATGGTCCTCTATGTAAAGTGGCACGAGGAAGGCTTAGATCCTCAAAATTTTGAAGAAGATGAGCAATATATATCTGATTTCACTGATGCATTGAAGGAAGAGCTAAAGAAACTAATTGATGGTCTTTTAGAAGAGGACTTCCTTGAAGAAGCTCGTGAGAAATATAGAGGTTTGTGAATACCTTTTTCTTAATGTAGCGTAGTTTTAATAATCAGAGATCCACCTTATGGAAAATAAAGGGATCAGATTGCAAATTAAAATAATTTATCAGAAATGATTATTCAAGCTGAAGTAATTAAGACTTGAAATCCATTATTATATGTGACGTAATGTAGGTCAAAAATACAATTTATAAACTGTGACTATCTAAAGCTTACACACTAAAAAAAAAAAAGATTATTTAAATGCATGATTTAAAACTTCTTTAAACAGTTACTTAACAGTTCCTTAACACTGAAGAATTCTTAATTCTTTAATACAATCTCATGATATCCCATTTCACTAAAAGAGCTTAGAGTAAGCTGTAAGCCATGAAAGCTATTACTTTAATATTTAAATGAATTTCTATAAAGGTAAAGTGTCTAAAATATGTTTAAGTTCTGAATGATATTTTCAGTGTTGTTTTGCACTTTTTTTCTGTTTCTGGCAATTTTAATGTATAATGAAAGAATTTAATTTGACTCTGTTCTTTCTGAGGGGAAAAAAATCTTGAATTTTCAACAATCCAAATTTAAGTTAAAAGGAAAAAATTTAATGTATTCCGGTAGATTACTTATTTACTTTAATTTAATTGCTTTAACTTACTTTATTTTAATTGCTTTAAGCTATGTTTTACGATTATTGAAATCAAGCATATGTATTTATTTAGTTCTACATTATAGAAACAGGAATTAAATTTTATAAATACATATAAAAATAATTTTTCGCCATAGCAAAGGTCCTGTTTTCTCAAAGAATAAAAATATTGGGAAAAGATAACAACATTACTGTATTATTTTTTTTATAAATTTAATATATAATTAAGAATGTTCGTTAGAATTTCTTTTCATTTTGCATAAGTTTTTTTTTTTATTATTCTTTAGCTTTAGTGAAACAAAAACATCTAGCTTAATGATATTTGCTGAAATTATGTGGATAAATTAAATAACATTACTGAAATTTTAAGTATAAGTACATAGATTATGGCAATGATGGTGGACATATATTTTAATGGACTAGATTCTTGAAAGTATTGATTCGTTTTCAGTGATATCAAATGCTTAACTGGAGATTTTTTTCAACTATTTGAAATAAATTTTTTAATTCAAAATGTATTAATCTTACTATTCTAGAATTCTTCATTGCTAGCACAGACAAATTGTTTGGAAAAATAAGGAAAATAATTAACAAGTACTTCATACAAGTACTAATATACTTTGTTAACACTATATTGCAGAAACAGGATTTAAAATTTCTAAATTTAAAAATAAAACTAATTTCTAACTGTAGAGAAATTCCCATTAACTCAAAGAGTAATAAATGTAAACATTGATGCGTTATTTAAATATTTGATACATAGTAAAGAAAATAAGACATTAACTGCATTAATAAATATTGACTTAAAAAAATATTCTTTAAACACATTTTTTTTCTCTTTTTTTTTCTTTTTTAAAAACAGCAAAATTAAATTACATTACCACAAAGAGTGTAACAATGATGGATTGATATTTTTCAGTGCTCTAGATTTCTGAAAATACTGTTTTTTTTTTTTTTTTTTTTTTTTTTTTTTTTTTTTTTTTTTTTTTTTTTTTTTTTACTGATTTGTAATACCATAAAATCATCCACCCTATATCTAAATGTATACTATTTCTACCCAATCACGAGTGATTTTAATTAAGTAATAAATGATAAGCAGAATAGATTAATATTTTCTATGAATTTTAACACCACTGATTTCAGACCAAAACAAATGTTAATTCACCATTAAGAGCTGCATAATCATTTCTTCAAAAATTTTAGTGATAAGTAAACTGTTAGAAATTTTAAGAATCTTTCTTTAATTTTATACACACTTTCAAAACTGTAAATTTAGTTTGCAAAATTTTTACTAATAATTTACTAAGGATGTTCATAAGATATAAGTGATACCAAAACTAAAAGAGCATTTGTATAACCTTGGCTGATTGAAGCGGCACGTTTCCTTTCAACACATGTGACACCATAACCAATCAGGAATTGTTTTTGATTGCATCATTTATAGAGGTAAATAATTGTCTATAAGGAGCAAATAATGTTAAAATGGGGCAAATAGTGCAATTTAAATGTTTAATAATTAAATTTTAACATTTGGTGAAAAAAACAATCAGATTTTCGTGGTCAGGAGAGAATTTCCAATAAGTTAGGATTTAAAAAAAAAAAAAAATTTTAAGAGATGCTGTAATTGTCATTTTGATTACTTTTAACCTTACAAATGAATTATTTCAAACTTAGTGTGTCAATTTTATTCTATTTTTATTTTTTTGTTATAAAAATGCATTATAAAATAAAAAATAGAGAAATAAATTTTAAATATCTGTAGAGTTTCCAATAGCTTTGTCATGAAATTAAAACTTACATAACTAGAGCTACTCTTAATTCAATGAGTGAAAAAAGAGAAAGTTTAAATTTTAAGTTTTTCAAAAACTAAATTTATGCATTTCAAGAAGATAGAATTTCATTAATTGCTTTTCTTTGTTATACCTTTTTGTATTTTTTTATGAACTAATTTCTTTTCAAAGGGAGAATGGGACTTTTGGTTGTTAAAAAGAGCCAAAAAACTATAGTTTTACATTTTTAAGTTTAAATATTTTTTATTTACTAATTTAATAAAAAATTTAATTTGTTTTCAGGAATTGAAAAACCATTGTACTTGGAGCTAGTTCAACAGTATCGAGCATGTCGTGAAATGAATAAAAACTTCCAACATAGGGAATCCAGTTTATTAAAAGTCAAGGACTACCTTGCTGGGGAAGATAATTTCCCACTAATTGTACAAGGTCCAAGTGGCAGTGGTAAAACTAGTCTCATGGCAAAGTTGACTGAGTATGCTTCCAGTTGGTTTCCATCGGCTTGTGTAATAACTCGTTTAGTTGGCTTAACTGCTGAATCTTCAACTCAGCAGCAATTGTTGAGAAGTATTTCGGAACAGTGCTGTGCTCTTTATGGGGAACATCCCGCTGTTGCTTCATCTGTAAGTTATTGAATAGTTTCTCTCTCCTTTTCTTAAAAAAATATACTGTAAAGAAAATATTTTTTATTATATTACTTAATTATAGACATGATAATTAATGTATTTTGAATTGATGGTGAAATTTAATGAGCATAATGGGATCATACGATCACTTTTCTAAAGTTTTTTTTTTTTGTTTCGTTGAAAGAACTCTCAGTATTACAAGCTTCTAAAATATTTTTGCAGTTTTGGATTTAGAAGAAAATTTCATTAATAAAATATGAAGATTTTTTAACTTAGTGTTTATGTTATTGTAACCATTTTGTCAGCATTTTCTTTTTTAAATTTGTGCTATTTTTTAAGTATAGGTTGTTTCTTAAATATAAATTAAATAATTTTTTTTTTCTTTCATATTTAAATATCTATATTAGTTTTCAGGGCCTACAATAGGTATACATGCATCTTTTTTGTCTAACTGGGTCCACCTTTTTTTTGATCTAAAAACATGGTGCTTAGGGGTGTTTAAAAAGTGCTTAGGGGTGCTTATTTTTGATTTTCGTTTTTTAAAAGCCCTCAAAAGTGCTTTTTTCATGGGGTGTTTTTAGAAAGTGCTTTATTTTATTTTTCATAAATGAGAATTTTTTTCTTCATGTCGATTTTCGCTGCGTATTATGCAAAATTGTGTTTTTTACATTCTTGTATTCAATGTTATCACAATTCATTCCACTACAATCGGCATACCATCGGTCTGCGACATTTGATAGTGCCTAACATGTTGCATATTTGATGAAATACGTGGGAGTCCGCATGTGTGTCTACTGAGCTGGGTTCGATGGAATTCTTGCACTCTCATGTGCAACTCTGCTGCATTTTGCAAGATATTCTCAATTTCATGCTTCATTTTCCACCCTCTGATATCGAACCGCAAAAGTCTCGTAATCTTTTTATGGTGGAATCAAGAAAATAAATAATCAAGAAAAAGATTTGTCTGAAACTAGTTATTTTATCATGATCATGTAAAGTTTTAAAAAATTATTTTGCATTTTGTTAATGTATATGGTGCTTAAAACATACTTAAAAGGTGCTTATTTTTTGTTGAACGATTTGGCTACGCACCCTGAAAAAATATATGATTATTTAAAAATGAATAAGCTTTTTCTTGTTTACTCTGTTTGTCTAATTCAATTCAATAATCATGATTTGCCCCTGACTTCATGTGATTTTTAACGCAATACTGCACTCTTGGGTAATTGACTCCTTGATTTAGACATTTTAAGAGAGGATAATATTGATTATAGAAAATGAACCCAGATGATGGTTTCCTAAAGACTTTCATTTTATGTGAGAATTACAACTTTCTTTAGGAGCTAAATGGCCATGGCTAAATGGCTTTCAAAAGGAGCTAAATGGCCATGACTGTTGGAGGAGGAAGGGGGGTAATCTATCGATAGATTTGGGGAGCGACATTTTTGGTGGAAAATTTCCCACTATGTTTTTCTGAAAATTTTTAAGTATCAGAAAAGCAGTTTTTTGGTACATTTTTATAGGATATGTTTGCTATTTCCATATTTTATTTTATTTGACAATTTCTGTATTATTCAAACAAAAACTGTTGGTTATAACTTTGCATTCTAACTTTGCAATCCACTTATATAAAAGTAAGTTTGATTCTGTTTTTACTATTTATCAAGTCGTTTAATTTGCAACTCATAATAAGTCAATTCACCCTATTTCACTCTATTAAAAGAGCTTTGACAGAAAATGAATCTCCCATTTCTCTTATTTGTTAAACAAAATAATGAGGTAGTGGCAGACGGAAGATCACACTGCTATACTGGCTGCTGCATTACAGTCATAAAAGGAATTCCCCTCATATAAAAATATCACTAGTTTGGAATAATTTTTTAAAATTCTGTTCTGTCAAGTGATAACCAGTGACAACGTCATGTTTTCAAATTCTGATTATGCACAGTAAAGGAGCATACTGGCAAGAATCTTCGCTGAGTAACAGCATTTCTGATTCATTTAACAGTTCTGAGAGTGATCCAGAAAGTTAAGACACCAATTAGAAATGTGTTTGTTGAAACATAGTGATTAAAATCATTGTCATGCCTCCATGTTGCGATGGCGCTGTCAGCAAATGTAAATGTTGTAAATAAAGATCGGGAGTTCGCACGTAGCGGCTGGAAAGGAAAGACGTTCTTTTGTTGGTCTAATTATTTATTTGGACAGTATGATATCATGCTTAACTTCTTACCACAAATTCTTGATTATATAAACTGAGCATATCGCATATTTCGCTTTTCATGAAATGTGTCTGCATCATTTATAAATTTTTTGAAATTTTATTTGGTTTTTTTTTGTCAAAAAATAATTTGTTATTTCAATATATATTATGTTTTCGTATATATATTTTTAAATCAATTTAGTGAATAAAATATTTTGTGCAATATTCATTTTATTATTATTTTTTTGTTGTCGAGAAAAATGTAGTTATTTCAGTACATATATTTATTGATTAATTTATTAAATTGATAGTTTCAATTTATGTCCATTATCTTTTTATTATATTTGCATAATAGTTAATAAAGAATTATTATTTTTAATTTGTTTTAAGTTCATTACTTATATTTATAAAATAAGAAAAGTTCTTCAAATATGTAGAGTTCATTCCATTTTATATATAACCAGAATATATACATTTAAAGAAAATATATATTATTTTTAATCTGAATTCTTAAAAAAAATTGATTATTTTTATTTTATGTAACTTTTTTTTTTGTAGAATGTCCATGATTGGGATTTTGGACTGGGTAAACTGCTCTCTAAAGTCTCGGAATTTCGTCCTCTAATTGTTTTAATTGATGGTATTGATCAACTGGCTGAATATAGCTCTAAAGACCTTCAATGGCTGCCCCGTGAACTCCCAGCTCATGTAAAACTGATCTTAACTGTTAGAGATAACAGTGAGGAGCTTGAAAAAATTAAGGTAATCTTTTTATTAAAACCTCTTATAATGACACAGGGGAAATGAAAGTAATCTGGCCAACTTTGACTTCAAAAACACCTATTAGTTATATTGTTTGTACATTTCACAACAATTGATGAGAAACCTTAAAGAGCTTTAAGCACAATTATTTTGTGTGTATGTTTTATTTAAATTTCGCACATTGCTTCATATTTTAATGGAGTTTAATAGTATTATGGTGTTGGTAGTTCCTATCTGTACTAACCTTCCAGAATTTGTGACTTTTATAAAATATTTTCTCCTTTGGTGGTGAACAAAGACCGAAATTTTTAAAATTTATAAAAATTATATAAATAACATAAGGATATGACTTTTTGTCATATTCTTATGTCTGTTTAAATTATTTATATCTAGTGATAGCTATATTAAAATATCTACAGTAATACCTTTTCGAATTGTAGCAATTACCTTGGTTATAATTATGAAACAATTTTTTAGAAGCTACGGAAATCTGGTAACGCTAATAAACCTCCATATGTTACTTTGTATGACGCCTGGTGGCTGAGCGGTAGCGCTGTCGTGCCACAGGTCCCTGGTTTGATCCTCTGGCCGGGCAAGGTTGACTCAGCCTTTCATGCCTTCAGTGGGTCTATAAATGAGTACCAAGCATGTTTGGGAACTAAATACTGGGGGCTCCGCGTTCGGCTGACCACCTAACCGGAACATCTGCTTCTGCACCCCAGAGCCTAAGGTCAAGAAAACTGAGATGGGCACAGTAGGCCTTGGCCCTCTATGGGCTGTCGCACCGCTGGGTTTAGTTTATGTTGCTTTGTGTTGTAGCAGTATAATTTATCTGTTATAACTTGCCTATCTAGCAGTATAACTTATCTATTTATTTAACTCCTGTGTTTAAAAATTAGACAGCAAATTCTCGATTTACCCTGTATATTATTTTTGCTTACTAAGCCTTCAGTAAAATGTGTTTAAATTTTTTAATTGATTTTTGCACATTTGGACTATCAATGTACTCGTATAAAAAAAAAAAAAAAAAGTTTGTAAATAATTTAGGTATTTACTTTCTGTGCAAAATAGTTTCACATGCTTTTTTATTTATTTATTTTATGATCTTAGTTGATAGGTACTGTCAGACTTTTTGTTCTTTTCCGCTGCAATCTCTGAAATGTTATCTATTATTACTTATATAGCAAATGATCTGAGTCTGACTTGGATTTAGTCTGACTTTAATTAAAATAATCGCTATTAGTCTTCAAAGTCTTTATATATATATATATANATATATAAAATCTGCATTTGCTTTTATTTATTCATTTATTTCATATCAACCATTTTTTTTTCATTTTGCTTTCAGGAACTTATGGAAAATAGTGATTGTTACTACATCTTAAATAACTTCACCAAGGAAGAAGCTAAGAACACAATCAACAAGCTATTAGAGAGCCGTAAAAAGAAGCTAAGTTCGTCGGAGCTAGAAACAATAGCTGCATATCTCGATGGTGACACTAGTGCTCGATATACCGAACTTCTTGGACTTATGACATTAAAGTGGACTGACATGTTAGTGGAAAAATCTGACAGCATTCAGAAAAATACTGAAGGATTAATTGTTCAGTATTTGACTCATGTAGAATCTCATTTAGGTATAACGTTATTAACTTTTGTTTTGGGACTTTTAATTACAGCAAAACATGGCATTAGTGAAAGTGAAATCCTTGATATTTTATCTTGTCAAGATAACCTGTTAGATTTAGTATTCTTAGGTGGTGAACCAAAAGTTCGACGAATTCCTGCAGTTCTTTGGGCTTCTATAAAGTACTTTTTACAACCTTTCTTAAGAACACAAGTGCTAGGTGGTCGAACTTTAACAATGCTTTCCTGTGAAGCATATAGGACAGTTATTAAAACGTATCTTCTTAATAAAGGGTTTACCATTAAAAGTAGTGCCCAAATTTTAGTTGATTACTTTTTTGGTAAATGGGCAGAAAGTAAAGCTAAACCTATTGCTCCTAACTCAGACAAAGCACAAGACAGATTTGTTCTAGAACAACCTTTAGCTTATGGGACAAATCCAAACAAAAGAAAATTGGAAGAACTTCCACGTTTGGTTCTCTTGTTGAATGACAATATAAGGGATAACTTTTTATTTGATGCTACTTGGCTTTTGTACAAATTTTGTGGAGCCGATCCTTATCAGCAGTTAGAAGATCTTTGGTGTTATCAAAAGACTTTGCCAGAGAGTGATAAGCAGGTAGAATTGTTAGAAAATTTTGTGAAATTATCCAGCTATGCACTTCGTAGCGACGGATCTCAGTTTTTTGCACAAGTATATGGACGGCTAAAGAGAATCTTTTCAAATGCTGATATCTCTTCAGACTATCCATCTTTAAAAAGCATTTTTGAAACATCTTGTAAACCTCCCTTATCATCATTGTTGCCATTAGATTTTTGCTTAGAAGAACCCATCATCTCATCATCAAGTAATAATTGTAATTCAAATAATCATGATTCTTCACCAGATTCAGATTCCCCTAAGTCAAAAAGCTTCCCGTTTACAGGCCTATATACTATCAAAGAGGATAAAGCTCATGTAGTGTCAATATCTAGTGAAAAAAATGAAATTGTTGTTTGGAACATATACGAACAAGCTGCAGTTAGGCGCATAACTGGAATAAATGAACCAAAAGATATAAAAATGATTGATATAAATAGAGCTTTGGTATTGTGCAACAGAGAGTTGAAAGTGTATCATTTAGATCAAGGTACATTGGTGGTTAAACTGAAGGGTGTTATGAATCAAAAAATGGCATACTATGGCTTGCACAATGAAAACTATGCCGTTGCTCTTTCTAGAAATCGAATGTATGTGAATATGACAAATTTGGAAACTGGAGACTTGGAAACAACTTTTAAAGTCGGTGAAGACAGGTGAGTAATGTGTTATGATGTACCTTTTTTATATTCTTGAAGTTGTAATATTATTATGTAGTTGAATTTTGTTGCAATAATCGCACCTAAGGAAACTTAATTCATTCTAATTGTTATCTACATTTATAACAGTTTCTGATATCACTGGATTGCATCAGTATTCTATGCTTCAATTGAAAAAATAATTTGTAGTCTTTACCATATAATATTAAGGGAAATGTTAAGTATATAATATTAAGGGAAAAATTCTCTTTAGTGAAGAGTTTTTGTGCATTACTTCTTGATTTCAAATTTTGAAAAGCAAAGCTACTAATAGTGAAGTATGCTTAAAATAAAATGCATGCTTGCTTTGGAGTTACAAAATTAATTATTGCGAAGTTTAATTTTAAAGCATTTAAAAAATTCTAGTTTAATCTAGTTGATTGTTTAAGCTTGTCAAAGCTGTTGATACTATCAGATTGTGTCAGACTTCTATACTTTAATTGAAAAAAATCCTGGGTTAGTAGGGTTGGAAAAACATGGCCCATGTTCAAGAGGTCATGTATTCGATCTACTCCTGCCGACGAATCCCCCTGTAGTAAATGGTGACTGATGCACGTTGAATCTGTCGAGTCACAAAGTCCTCCATGTTTCTATAACAAATCATACCTCTGGGGTTCTGATCCAGGAGTTTCCTTGTCCTTCTCGATTGGTTCGAAGTTACAAGGCTATGGAGTTGAACATTAGTAGCTGTAAACCCAAAAATTGGGTCTGCTGTTCAACGACGGTTTTAAAATATATATATTTAACAAAAAAATATCATTTTAGGTTCTTGAACAGCCTGCTTGTGAGTGCAAATGGTCGAATATGCGTATGCGGAGATGAAACTCAAAAACCATTTCCTCTGCTTGTGTGGGATCTAACAAGTAGAAAATTAGTTTATGATCTCAGAATACCACATCATGAATTTGTTACTAGACTGTCAGCTATCAGTGATGATGGGCACTATGTTGTGTCTGTTTGCAGAGTAAGTTTTTTTCTAGTCATTCTTTTGTAGTAAATCCAACAATGATTTTATCACTGGTGATGAGCAATGAAGCACATTCACTATGCTATATTAGGCTATCAACTTTATAATCTTTTTAATTCCATTAAATCGATATTGCAGAACTTGCCTATTCCCTTTATTGACTTAAAACATACAAATTTTTATTGCTAAAGTTTCTGTCTTACTTAGGTTAAATATTTACTGTAAAATGTTTTCTGTTTTCATCGTTAATTTCTTTTTATTAAATTTTAAAGCGAAATTAAATAAGCATGTAAAAAATGTGTGACATTTAAAAGAACATTCAGACATTCAATTAAATTAGAACTAAAATATATTTTTGACATTTCAATTTTAGGAATTGCATGATACTTCACCTAATTTCATTATCGTTTATGATTTACAAAGTGGTACATTGTTCAAAAAATGGAAACCGGAGAGTAGTAGTTGCAGCATTGCGATATCATCACAAGGTGGCTGTGTTGTCAATGGCTTAGAAAACACTTGGGTTTTAGTCTGGGATTTATCAACTGGAGCAAGAAGGTATATATATATATATATATATATTTTTTTTTTGTTTAAATTTTAATCTTTATATTCTTTTTAGCTGGTAATATTCTAATTTTGTTTGCTAAATTTTTTTCCTATACGTCAAAGGTTTTCTTTGGCTAAAGGTTCTGAATTTGTTACAAAATCCTCGCTCAAAGTCATATTTTATTAAAATATAAAATGTTTTTATCATGTTCTTTAAAAATTATGTTTTTTTAAAAAATTAAAGAAGAGACATCTTTTCTAGAGCGAATTATCTTTTTAACTTCTGTGATTTCAGAATTTTTATCATTATTTTTATTTATTTTACCAATTTAAAATTCTAGCTGAAGCAAGCCAGTCATTGGCAAATTTTTTTAAATTCCGAAATGAAAACAGAAAAATCAGGAGCATTTCTTTCCTTTTCGATGAACAAAAAAAGTATCTTAATATAATTCTGCAGAGAAAAAAAAAATGTTTGTTTTTGTATTTTTCAGCTATTTTATTGCTTCAACGTTTTCTTTACTCTGATTTTTTTTTTTTAATTTAAAATTTATAAATATGAAGGGTATAACAGTTTTGGTTATACCTATCATTTCAATTAATGTTACTATAATGCTTTTTTAAATTTATTGCTGTGTTTTTGTTGGAGAAAATAGTAACTTCGTGAAGTCATGAAAAATTCTTGGAATTAGTCATGGAAAGTCATGAAAAGTCATGAATTTGAAAATCTAAAATGTAGCAGATGCCCTGCATATACATTCTTTTTTTACTCTGTGTTCTATTATGTTATTTTTCTTTATTCTATAGATTCACACTTAGAGGTCATAGTGCTCCTGCTGATCAAATTCGAATGGAAGAGCAGGGAAAGAAGTGTTTGACTTACGATTCAAGAGGCTATGACAGAAGCGTACGTGTGTGGGATGTTACTAAAGGTAAACTGGTTATTAAATAAATATTGTTTTAAATTGAGGTAAATTTAATCTATAAGAATCCTCGAAACTCAGCTATTATGGTCAAGTGATTTTTGTAACTCTTCATGTATATTTTCAATAAGAAATATGTTGAATTAGTTTTAAAATTTTATCCAGTTTACAAACTATTACTATACATTCATCACCAAAAAACACTTTTTGATATATTGTATTATATTCAGACAAAAAGAAATCAAAAAGTGTCATCTCAAGAGCAAAACAGTTGCATTGATTTCCTGACTTTATTATAGTTTTTATTAAGTTCATCAAAATAATTTTTGATTCCCTATTGTAACTTTAATTGAAAGAAGCAGGTTTTGGATTTTTAAGTTTTATTTCTTTTAGATAATTTAATATTCAGTGCCTGCTCAAAGAAATTAAAAACCTGTTTATCTAACCCATGACTTTGGTTAGAAACCCGTTAACTACTCCAAGAATCTAACACCTTTGTTTAAATTAAATAAAAATCATAAGTGTTACCAGTACAAAATGCAACGCAAAGACAAAACTGAAATCATCATGTGAGTCACCATCTCAGATTGTAATAAATTTCCTATCAATATCTTATTATAATAACAAAATTAAGTAAAGCAAAATATATGCTTAAATAAATTGTAAGTTTTGTATTTTAATATTTACTTTAATTTTGTGTGATAGTATTGACACCATGCATGAATCTGCCTTTTTGTAAATTGACTGACGCATGCTATTAAAATGGTGCTAATTAAATGCAGTTAGAATCTAATCTTGATAAGCTGAGTCAATTTTTTTTTAAATGTAATAATTTTCTGACATTATTTTAAAGCTATTCTTAAACTCCAGCTTCCTCTCTTCTTATATTCTCTAAACCTATTGAGATGGTTTTAAGTTCATGGACACTATTCCTAAATAGTGTTGACTGGATTGGTTTGTTCTTGTTGGGTATTGTTGGGTCTGGTATTGTGTTTCCGACTTCTGCTTTTAAACTTCAATCAAACCGCTTCTTTGAAGGTAACTTTGAAATGTCAATGGATAAAGAGGTCTTCATACTTCAAACAAAATTATAAAAATATTATTTTCTATATTTTATAAGATTTTGTTTTTGTTTTGTCTCAGAAAAGATGATAAAGTTGACATTAATCAATACCTATTGGCTTTATAAATAATATGCTCTACTAAAGTTCCAGTTTATTTACTTTTAAACGAACAACTTCCCAACTAATATGTCTTTGTGGCTATGATGTAATGGTTTGGCTGTTCGCTTTCTAGCAAGATCCCGAAATCAAATTTCAGCTGAGACAATTGAATTTTATCTCCAATTTCCTTTTCTAAAAAAATTAGATAATTATTTAATATGTTTTATTCAATTTATAAATTATCATTAATATTATTATTTTTTAATTTAAATAAAAAAAAAATTTTTAAAGTTAAATTTTAGAAAACAAATTAATAAATATTTTTTAAAATAGTTGGATAATTGTAGAAAAAATTTCATTTAAGATTTGAATTAAAATTTTGTAAGGTTTGAATTAAAATTTTGTAGTTTTCTTTTTAATTACAAAATAATAAAAATTATATTTTTTAATTAAAATGTATTAGTAATTTTTTTTTAAATAATTCATATATTTTATTTAAAAAAATATTTTATAGATTGAATAAAACATATTTGATAGTTATCAACCTTTTTTAGAAAAGAAAGTTAGAGATAAAATTCTACCGTCTCAGGTTAGGATTTGAATTCTGGAATCTCTCTGGTAGAAGGCAAAGAGCCTAAATGTTACACCACGATTACGTGTTATGTTTTTATTTAGTTTAAAATTAAGTAAACTGAAACTTTAATGAGGCATATTTTACCCTAGGGGCAATTAGGCAACTTATTTATGCCATATAAAAGGTTTTCTCTTCAATTGAAGTTTATTTCCTTAATTTTCAAGAAAATGGTCATAAAAGTGCCTATTTTGCCAAATACACATATTTGATTAGTGCTGACATTTAGTTTAAAATAAACCAACTATCTACAATTACCTTAAAAATATCTTGGTATTGCCATCTGGTGTGTAAAGTGAGAAACAAAATGTTTTCCGGGCAAAAGAAATGAATTAGTTTTATTCTTATTGGTGCGTTACTACTGAACACTCCAGCCCGGAAATTTCACGAAAGCGAGAAATAGAGGGCGGAATCTCACCCTGTCATTCAGTTTATTTAATTTTAAACTAAATAAAAACATCGGGGCGAAATCTCACCCCGATGTTTTTATTTAGCTTAAAATTAAATAAACTGAAACTTTAATGAGGCATATCTTACCCTAGGGGCAATTAGGCAACTAATTTATGCCATATAAAAGGTTTTCAAACATGCTCTTCAATTGAAGCTTAATTTCTTAATTTTCAAGAAAACGGTCATAAAAGTGCCTATTTTGCCAAATACACGTATTTGATTAGTGCTGACATCTAGTTTAAAATAAATCAACTATCTACAATTACCTTAAAAATATCTTGGTATTGCCATCTGGTGTGTAAAGTGAAAAATAAAATGTTTTCCGGGCAAAAGAAATGAATTAGTTTTATTCTTATTGGTGCGTTACTACTGAACACTGCAGCCCGGAAAGCGAGGAATAGAGGGCGAAATCTCACCCCGCCATTTTCACTGGAGCGAGAAGGAAGGGGTTAACTTTGTTGTAATAGGAATTTTGAAGATGTTAGTTAACAGTGCAGTAATAAATGTATAATTACGCTTTTCTTTCAGGAGAATGTCTAGCAGTGTTTACTCCTGATAAAGAGTTTTCATGCTGCGAGCTGTCTCTGGATGGAAAAGCTGTTATTATGGGGCTAAAGGGGTTTGATACCATAACAACTCTCTTGCTGTGTCGTGAAAACACTGTAGAAGAAGAAATGCCAAAGAGTGTGTGTTATGGGGATCCAGAACTAAAGCACAAAGAATTTGACATGAGTCATGATGGCCAATGAACCCAGTGTTCTGTTAATGATGTGTGTCTCATGTTCTGTGTCATAATAAAAAGGTTCAACCTTAGCAACAGGTTGCTGTCCATGTTCTGGAAGCATAGGTTCAGGGTCCAGATGCTTCGATCTGTTGGTCCTCTGGTGTGCAGGACTCGCTGCACCGCATACTGAGGAATGAACAAGACTCAAAGTAATGATTGCCAATTTTTAGTATGGCAGTTTCAATCATGTTTTAAAAAACCACATATGAAGCCAAGAAACAATGTGTTCACCAGGGCCACTGTCATGCATGTAATCATTTTTGTTTTGTTAAATAGAAACAATGTAAAGTAAGTATTTACTTTTGGCTTAGCTTTCTGTGAATGTTGTTGGCAGAGGCAATCAAATGCTAACACATTTTTAGTACTTGTAATTTGAAAACTGAGGATCAGCTTGCTACAGGCTGAGCGAATCACAAAAAATTTGAATATCATAGTTGTCAAAATATGTTTCGTTTTGCTTTTTTGTAAATAGTTTTCAAGTTTGAGTAACTCAGGTTTTTTTTTTTAAACTGTTATTATGAAATTCGTGTACTTGTTTTATCATGGCGAAACATTTGTTAGAATGATATACATTTTTGGAGTTGTACTTTTTTGTGATTCAAAATAAGGCTTTTTCTTTTGTACAAATCCATTGTATAATAAATAGTTATTATATACATGTTTACTCAAACGTTTTAAAATGGCGTTAAATAATTTACTAATTTTAAAGCAATGTTTAATAATAAGAATTATCATCAAATACATTTGATTTTTTTTCAATAATAATTTATTTTCATTTGTTGATGTTTAGCAATAAGCCTGGAATTTTGAATAGAACTTTCTTTTATACACAAATTATTACTAATGTACAGCAATAGTTGAAACCATAACTTGCAATAACAACTACATTATCTCTATTTGCTATATATTCTATAAACTCAATTTCAATAAGTTTTTTTCATTTCGTAATAAACAGTGACCAATAATCACACAGTTAAAGCTGTTTTATATTAATAATTTATGATATACAACTGATAGTATAAATGTTACTTTTTAGCCTTTTTTGTCAATTTTATGAAGCATAATTGTTAAAAAAAATAAAATAAATGATCTTTTATTTTGAAATCCTCTTTTTTGAATAACACAGTTTTGATTGATTTTTGTCTTAATACTTTTAACTGTGTATGCTGTATGTTTTCAGTTTTAAAAAATTTTTGTAAATTTCATATTGAACTATTCTAGATTTTTTTTTTTTTTTTTTTTTTTTTTTTTTTTTTTTTTTTNTTTTTTTTTTTTTAAACCATGTCTCACATTTGGATGGGTTATAAATCTTTTTTTCTTTCTCTTTTAAAAAAATGGATTGCTTTTAATAATAATTTTATTACTTGATTTATGAAATTATGCAAATTATTATTCTTTTCATATAGTTTTAAAGTGGCAAATGAAGCATTTATGAGCTACATAGTTTTGCTTTATTCAGTAATTGGGAATTGTTATTTTTGAATTTATCTACCTTGTATCTTTAAATTATTTTTATTCCTAATTATTCAGAGATAAATCTTGTGTAAGTACATACATAATTTTAAAATGAAAAGCGATACTTTATATTTTAATTATTATTTCTGTTGTACTAGCAATTAAGGCATCTTTTTTTTTTCCTTTAAAAATTAGCATAGTTTTATGTATAGTTCAGCTTTTATATACATCTATATATTAAATATGTATAAATTGTGCTTTTTGTATCATAAAACAGTTGAATTTTGATTTGTAATATTTTAATGGTTGTACAGTGCACAAAAAAATAATAACTTTTGATATAATGGTCGTATTTTCATATACTAAGATTAAATCTTAATGGTTTGCAATGTTGACCTGAAATATGATATTTAGTTAAAATATACCTTCTCTGATGAAACGTACCTTTTTTTTTAACTATTTCATTTCTTAGGAATTATTCGATTGGTATCGTTCAAATTTTGTATTTTGCTGTTCAAAATTTCCTTCCTAAAATTAAGTAAAATGTTTTATACCTTACAATTCAAAAATATTTAGACTATTTTTAAATAAAAAAAAGTTTTTAAAATTATTTTATGTGTATAATTGTCTTTGGATAAACGAATTTTATGATTGTGTAGAAAATTTTTTCAATTTTCTTAAAGAGTTCTCAAGGTATGACAATATTCTCAAAAAGTGAAATTAACAGTAAGGATTCCTAACTTTTGACTGTTCACCTGACCAATTTATTGGGACCACATTTTTGATAGTACGGCTACCCCCTATAATTTGTGGATCCGGAATCATAATCAGTTGAGGAAAAAAGGTATGTTTATTCAGAGAAAGTATACTTTTGTGTCTGATTTTGTAACTTGAAATATCATCTAATTAGCATATTCATGTACATTACCCCTGTGAGCCATTGAGTCCTACTGTGTGAAAATCTGATCATTAGATCAAAAGTTATTCAGGGTATTTCATTTTTTTTAATGCTCACTGTACATATCTAGCTTAATAGTTACTTTAAATGAATGATTCAGAATAATAATTTAAGTATGCAGCTTTTGTTTTCATAGTTAAATTTAATTTTTAACACTTAGTTAAAACTGGAGTGCTTTTTTTTTTTGGTATTAAAAATATTCAGAATTAGTGTGAAATGAATATAAATGTAATTTTCTTATCTCTTTAAGTATTGCCATTATTCGTGTTATAACTCTTGTACAAGGTTTTACAATTTATTCTACCATGCTTTTTCTTGAAAGTCCACTTAATCTGATTGCAGAACTACAATATTATTTAATTATATAAAAAATATACATCTATGCACATTAAAAATCACAACTGTAAATAATATTATATTGCAGTTAATTTAAAAATAGTTTTTTTGGTCTTGATTTTGAAATTTTTTTTTATAAATTTAGATAAACACTTAGTGTTGGCACTAATTAATGCATCTATATTTTGTGAAATAATTAGTTTTAAGTCTTTTTAACTTTAATATTTTAGCTATTTGAATTTCTGCTACAAATGAGATTCATACTATAAATTCACTAGATAAGTTTCTGCAATATTTATTTATCATTTACATTTTAAAACTTCTTGACTAATAAATTTCATACTGTGAATGTTTTTGAAATTTTTTTTTCTAAAATTACAATTTAATATAATTGCGAAAATTTCAGTCTTTAGATTTTGTTTTTCTTTTTTTATAAATTCTATAATAAGTAACTTTGTAATATACTTTAGTATATATAATTTATTTGCTATTAAATTTCTTTCGTATGATTTTTATTGTTTCATGTGTTGACATCTGGATCATTATTGTAAATATTTACTCTAAATTCTTATTAATTTTTTTATTAAATTCATTTGCAATTGTGAAAGTTTACATAAAAAATTGATATTGCAATATCTAGAAAAATTCAATCACTTTCTGAAATTAAAAATTAAATTTGCTTGAATGAAATCAAACTAAATTTGTTATAGCTAGTTTAACATTGAATATTAAGTTACTAATCTTATTTGCCTCAATTTCTAAGTACTCTGTTTTTTAATGCAAATTTCAGTGAAAACTTAATTATATTACCAAATTTTTTTAAACAGAAATTTGTTAGCTTATTTATTCGAGATTTTATAGTCCAATCTAAATTTCCTGATCAATAACTTTATCCTTATGGCAAACATGCAATAACCATGAATTGCATTGGCATACGCTAAAAAATACAAAATAAATTCGCATTGAATTAACCCAGATTCAAAATTCTTAATTAAACAAAAAAATAATCAATTTGATCATTTGTATTCATTATCTGTTATAGATAATTCTTTTTTCAACTCATGTTATTGGTACCATGCAATAATAATTGCAATATTTATTCTTTTATTACTCCTGAAATATTTATCCATTATTTGTGTCCTTCAGCATTCATCCCAGGCTTTTCATTTTCAATATTGTCCTTTTAATAATATTATATTTTCACTGTTTTCATGCTTTCCAACAATTCATAAATCAAATAGTAAACATTTTATTTTAAATTAAAAAGTTTCAAACACATAAGGTCCATTTTTTAAAAAGAAAAATGCATTGATTCGTGAGCCATGGCAAAAAAAAACTATCTAAATTTGATGTTTACTGGTTCTATTTATTGTCTTTTTGTATATTTCCACGTACAATCTATTGTAAATGTTTTATCTACCTATAATTGCATTTACTTAAAAATATACACTACTACACATCAAAATAAAATTAATATTTTTTTCCTCCACAAATTAACAAATTATATTTGTTATTCTGCCAAATTGATTTAGTTTTGCTCTCTACTTTTATTTTTAATGTTCATATTACCAGAATTTTTTATAACTGTGTGTCCTAATCATTAGATTTCATATGAGTAGTTTGGTTCTAGAGGGTTAAGGGAAACACATTGACTCATCTTAAATGTAGTTAGAACTGGTAAATATTAGTTGATTGTTATTCAATGTTATGATGAAAGATGACAAAAACTGCCACTTATTTTTTATATGTGTATGCTGTTGAACTTTGCTAAGATGAAAAGAAGCAAAAAGCTAAAAAAAAAATATCTTATTTGCAGAAATGCCAACTATTACAGATTTTCATAATTACTGTAAATTCTAACTTTGGTTACTAAACGGTTTAGTCGGTTAATTTTCAGGAAAATGGTCATAAAAGTACCTATTTTGCCAATTTCGCGTATTTGATTAGTGCTGACATCTTGTTTAAAATAAACTATATACAATTACCTTAAAAATATCCTGGTACTGCCATCTAGTGTGTAAAATGAGAAATAAAATTATTTTTCCGGGCAAAAGAAGTGAATTAGTTTTATTCTTATTGGCTCGTTACTACTGAACACTTTAGCCCGGAAATATAGAGGACGAAACCTCACTCTGTCATTTTCGCGGGAGTGAGAAGGAAGAGGTTAAACTCCATAATTTATTTCCCTATTAGTTTGTTTCTAAATTTTATATATTTGTTATTACATCTGTAGTAACTATTTCATTTGCTTAAATTTTATTTATACACTAAATGCTATGACAGAATATAGATTTATGAGTGTTTCATTCAAGGGAATGGAAACCATAAGTTCAAATTTTCGCTCATAAAAATATTTTACTTCTAATCATTTTCTGCAGTACAATAAAGTAATTATGTAATATTTATAAATATGTGTTGAGTGCTGGGTTATTTCACCTACTAGCATTGTCGTTTTATTTCATTACCTCATTTTCTATTAGCATTGTGTTGTACTAGTACTTTTAAAGCTGTTATAGCTCTAATTTATGCTTTTTTTATCATCATATGTAAACTAATTCATAGTGATCCTAAGATTTTAAGGATTTTAAAATAAGCCTTAAAATCTTGTTTTAAAAAAAGACATTATAAGCTGACATTTTGTTTAGTTATTATATATTTGTATTATTAATCTGAATTTAACCAAAAAAAGAAAAAGATTAAGGGTCAGATCTGCTAACTCCTTTCTAGCATATCCTTCTGGAAGAAAATAAATTGACTGTCAAGTTGTTTTTCTGACAAAGAGAACCTATGTTGTTAATTACTTTCGTGTTGACTTTTGAGACAATTCTTTGTTGAAGAGACCCTCTTCACCATGTTAGGTGTAGGCAATACATAAAGCACCTGTTTTCACCATTAAACGAAATGACTAAAATATGGTGATTATTTAATCAGCAATTTTTCCTACTTGAATTTGTTCTACATAGATAAAAAAATTTATTCTATTCATTTAATTTCAAGTTGATATTTGTTCCTGAAATATATAAATCAATAAAATGAAGGTGATTAATAAATATATGTTTACATTAATAAAGATATTAAAATATTATCAAAATATGAAAGACATAACATATTCTATATATATAGCATGGTCATATTCTTTTATATGAATGCAATATTAAAAAAAAAGCACATCAAAAGGGAT